CTCAGCCCACAAGCAGAGCCGTGACTGGGGATGTACCCGAGGAGCCCGCAGCTCTCATGGATACTGTTCTGCCCCAGCCCTCTAAAAATCCCCACTGGCACCCCATTGGGGATGGGGCCAATTCCAACTGGCTCCACCTTTTGTACCCAAATGTCACAAGTTGGAGGCGAGCACAAGTGCTTACATCAGAGAAGATGTTCTGGAAAGAAAGGACACGGCTGGGACTGAGGAGAAGCGACACCTTCAGGATTCTTACCTCGCTTGAGCTGCTCTGGGAGCAGAGATGGGATCTCTTGCCACCCATCTGGTGCTTTTACATGACATGAATACAAATGCGAAGCTTCAGATATAACTCCAGCCATGTGGATGTGGAGAAGGGGAGAAACAAGCAGTGCATGAGCACACAGGCCCCACCTCGTTAAAGCACAGCACGGGACAGGACAACATTTCTAAGGCTTGCAGCAAATCTGAACCAAGCAGAGCAGCTTCTCCCATCCACAGCCTCAATGTGCCCGAGACATGTAGTGAGTAATCACAGTTAATCGCATAACCGTGCCCCTGCCCCACGCGGGCGGGTGGAAGCAGCGTTGCCCACACCCTGCACGTCTCCCTCTGCCCCGTCGCCTCCCAGATTCCTCCTAATTGCACAACGCAGGAAGAGCTCATCCAGCATCGCGCTGCCGCCCCTCCCGAGCTGCGAGCCAAGGGAGCGCAGGGAGCACCCGCAGCGCAGAGCGCTGGGCCCGGGCGCTGCCAGGGCTGGCTCCTGGAAGGGAGGCGCCGGTTTCGCTTTGCCGCTGCCGAGGGCACGCAGCGCCCGGCAGCTCCCATCCTGGCACCCACCGCTGCCGCTCGGCGCGGGCGGGAGCAGCGCCCAGGCTCCCACGCACCGCACCGCGCCGCATCCCTGCTGCCGTGGGAGCCGCCGGCACCGAGGGGCGCAGCCCCAGGACGGACCCGTCCGTTCCTGGGCAGCGCCTGCTCCCGGCGCGAACAGCAGCGAGAGGAGCCGGAGCCGCGATGGGCTGCGGCTCTGCTAATTGCTGCTGTGGTCCGAGCAGGCAGAGCCGGCTTCCTGCGCCAGCCTCCCGGGGAGGGACTGCAGGGCTCGGAGAGGCAACCACCAATTGGTCTCCTCCCGTGGAAGAGCGTTTTCCCCATTCCTCCTTCCCCAAAAAGCAGGCGCTACGGGCAGGAGGCGGCCGCGGCAGAGGGAAAGGGCTGCTCCCGCTGGGCTCGCTTCCTGAGCCTCCGACCAGCTTGGGGAAAAATCTGTCACTTCTGTTCCACGCTGCATGGGGCATGGCCGGGTTTTCCAGGCTAAGGGAGAATAACTGAATGGCGAAAACAGGCAAGGAAATTTAACCCTGGAGCTTCCGAACGGTGCCACTGGCTGGGAAAGAGAGAACGGGGCAGGGGGATGGCTGGATCCAAACAAACCCCGGCTTCCACCGGAACTGAGCCATGGAAATGTTTTCCTTGAGAGTTTGATTAAAAGAAAATGTAAGCCTATGCTAAGTGTGAGACTTCTGCAACGGCTCTGGTTCACAGAGCTGTTCTCAGCTCGCTCCTCGTGCCCGCCTTTCATGGACTAAGGTGTAACACGGCCCCTTCACACAGAGGATCAGATTTAGGCTGCACACGACCTCACAGCAAACAGCAGCAGAAACGCATGGAGTTTATCAGAGCCCTGCAGCTATGGCAGGAACAGGGTTCAAAGGTCCCTCTGCTCTCACAGGGCTGGGAGCAGGCCGTAAGAAGGCAGCGGTGTGAGAACAGGTAACGCTCACCCCAAGCTGCAAAGTGGCCAGCCCCCCCCGCCAAGAACCACAACACCGCCTGTTCCCAGTGAGGAAGATGGGGTTTAGCTTTCTCCATGCAAAGTGGTGCTTTTCTGGCAAGATCTTCCAAGGAGCACTAATTCTTAAAGCTCCTCCAGCCCCAACCCCTGCCACGGGCAGGGACACCTTCCATAGAGCAGCTTGCTCCAAGCCCCTGTGTCCAACCTGGCCTTCAACACTGCCAGGGATGGGGCAGCCACAGCTTCTCTGGGCACCCTGTGCCAGCGCCTCAGCACCCTCACAGGGAAGAGCTTCTGCCTAAGAGCTCATCTCAGTCTCCCCTCAGGCAGGTTCAAGCCATTCCCCTTGGCCTGTCCCTCCAGGCCCTTATGCAAAGCCCCTCAGTGTGTTAATGCAGATAGTTAAGCAGGAGGTCAATGGGGTTTACCTAAGAAGAGAAAGGAATCGATCTGGGGGGGGCGTTGAAAAACCTTCTCAAAAGCAAAACAGTTGGAGAGCCTCAGTCTCACATCTCATCCGTTTATTCACCTGCACATCTCTGGTTGCTTCTCCTTCAGCCTTCCCAGCTCCCCCCCGAACTTCTGCATTTCCCCAATGGATTTCATGCGCTTTCTGCCTTCCTCTTGCATGCATTGGTTGGGCTGGTTCCCACTCAACGTACCAACACCCAGCTACTGCTGCCAGCGTCTGCTCCAGCACAGAGCCACATGTGCCAGCTCAGCACCAGCCAGACCAGGCCACGGAGAAGCTCTGAGTTTGATGACAGACTGAAGTACTTCATAACATAACTTCATAACTGAAGAAGGCCGATGCCTTCCTTCCACTCTGGTTGTTAACTGTGATGACAACAACTGGCCTGGGGGTCTAGAAGCAATATTTGCAGACCAAGCCCTGAACAGGGTCTCTCACAAGCACTGCATTCACAAAAACAAAGGTTTGGGTGTGATTGTGCTGCCTTACAGGCAGCTTTCTATGGGTGAGCTTCCTTTCATTTGCTTTTGTTGGTCATTTCCAACAGCAGTACTTCAAGGGAACTGCTTTGTGCTGGAGACAGAGGCATTCTGGAGGACTGCACAAGGGGAGCATGCATCTGGGGAGTTCTGAAAACACATTATCCAAACCCAAGGGTCATCAAAATCCAGGATGTCAGTGTCAGCTGGACACTTAAAAATAGCTTCACCCATCTGAGCAGCGTGACCTATTGTGTACCAGAGCCCTCCTTCAGAGGCTGTTTCTTTCATCACTGCTTCCTACTGTAGATACAATCAGCTGGTAAAAATAAATCAGTTTCTTATCACCTCTTGTTGGCAGCATTGAGCTGTTCCCACACAGGAAACTGAGGCACGGTGACATGAAGTGGCACCAAGAGAGCTGTGAACCCTGCAGAGAGCAACCCAGAACACCTGAATCATGAGGCTCCACGCTAGAGGAACAGCATCAGAGCAGAGATATACACCAAGGATAAAGGAGGCAGCAGCTGGGACCATCCTGACTCCAGATCAAATGGAATCGAGATGCTGCTCTCCCACCCGCCTCTGCCAGATGCCAAGTTCCATGACCCGATCACCACATCCCCTGGCCCTGCAGGTCCCTATGAACTCACCCAGCACCTGCACAAAGCAAGCAGGTTTTATCCTTATGGAGTTGGGCACTAAAGTCATGTTGGAGCCCGGCCACTTCACTCTGGTGCCCAAATGAGAGCCAAGCACCTTCGGGAGCTGCCCTCCTCCCTTCTGTTGTAACTAAAGTGATAGAGCATTGACGCAAGCACAGCAAGCGCTCAAGTACACACCGAAGAAGGTTTAAGTTTCTCCTAGGGCATGGCAGTATTTTAGGTTCCTCAACACCTCTGAAAGCCCGCACAGGCACTGCACACACCCCAAATTAACACTAAAACTATTTATTATACATGATGCAAATGCAGAGAATTGCAGTGAGGCGGCTCCTATTCCCTGCCACGGAGGCTTCCCCTCGATCCCCTCTCCCAGAGCCTGGAAGCGTTTGCTTTCCTAAATAAGAGCCTCCAATCAATTTTCCTTTCTGCAAGCTCTATGCCAGTCACAGTCTTGCAAATTCATTCTCGAGCTGGAAACTTTTGGGCCAGGATTCAAAGAAATGAAGCAGAGTTTGAGATTCTTGGCAAAAAGCAGTTTAGAGAGAAAACAGCAGCAGGGGCTTGTTTGTGCTCCAGTGGCACGTCCATAACCCAGACAACCAGCGCTGCTGTGCCCAGTTTGTTCAGCAATATCACACCAGACATTGCTGACTTTTGAGAGCTACGCTGTTCAATGTGAGGAAACGCTTTCAGCTCCGCAAGGCTGCAGGATGCGTCTCCGAGCTGTTTAATTACAACAGCCCCTCCAACAACAACACCACAACCAAGCTGTAGACAAAGAATAGTTTTGAGCCGACACAGATTTTGGGCAGATTGACTTCCGACAGCAGTTATACAACATGTGAGCTGCAGAGGCGGCGGTGCAGGGGTCACGCTCCATGTTTGCTGTACAGCCTCCTTCATACACCGGCTCAGAGAGCAGCTCGCCTCAAGAGTTTGCTTTGCCCGTGTCTGAACTGCCGTGTCCCTTGCAGTATTACATATACACACACACCCCGTTAAGTTAACTGGCTGCTCCAGAGTGTTTGCATACCGGCGGGATGTAAATAATTCTTATTGAGGAAGCTCTGACCCCATTTCTTCCCGCCCCGCTTTGCGGGGTGCTCCATGCCTGCAGACACACGGGTATCGGATAGCCCTCCCGAGCATCCTGGGCATCCAGGGCGGACTCGCCACAGGCTTTCGGTACCGGCTGCAGCATCAGAGCGCGCACCGAGGCCTCGGAGCTTCCCTGCTCATGTACCCTCCAGCCCTCCTTCCCGCAGGACTCTCCCCACACCCTGCCGAGGGCACCGGCTGCGCCCCGCTCCCGAGAGCCTCCTGCAGCCGGGTCCTGGTCCCGACATCCCGCAGCCGGGTCCGGGTCCCCCCCAGCCCCACGGCCGGGTCTGGGTTCCCTCATCCGCAGCCGGGTCCGTGATTGCGGGTGCTGGCCGGCAGCGGCCGCGCACACGGGTCCAGCGCCCGGCGCATCCACCCGGCTGCCCCGGCCCCGCCATCGGCCGGGTTATTCCCCACCACCGCCAAAGGAGGAACCCCCCAACGAGTCCGTGCGAGCGGGGCCGGGCCCCGCCGCTGCTCACCGAGAAGCGCTCCAGGTCGGTGGCGGCCATGGCCGGGGCTGGCGCGGCTCCGGCGGCGGGAGCGCGGCTGTCCCCGCCGCGGGTGGATGCGGCTGAATGGATCCAATATGGCCACTTCCTGGAAACTCCCCTCCGCCCGCCACAGGCGCCGCCCGACGGGACCGGGGGGAACCGGGGGCCGGGCACCGGCACCGGCCGGGGGCGGGAAGGGGCGGGGGCAGCCCGAGCCCGGCCCCGGAGCCGTGCGGGGGAAGGCCCCGGAGGTCCGCTCCGTGCCCGCCGCAGGGTCCGCTGCGGGCGGCGGGTGCGGGGACGGGGACGGGGACATCGCGCTGAGCGCGGCCCGCGGCCGGGAGGACGCCAGTGGGGCCGTGGAAGCGCCGGGAGCATCCTCGGCGGGGCGCGGGGGATGCGCGCAGGGATGCGGGGACCCCTCTCCCCCTGTTCCCAAGCGTTCGGCGGGCTGGGAGGCCGAGAGACACCCGCGGCGCCTGTCACCCACGGGGGTTACACCGAAGTTGCAGCCACGGTGTGGGTTTGAGCCTGGATGCCAACAGCTTGCAGCCATCACGCTGCCTGTGTAAGCTAACACACGCAGCAGAGGACCGTCGAGTCTTTCTTCATCATCGCTTCCCACGTAAAGCGCAAAGCCAATCCCGGCACCAGCACCCACAAAGACGCTGGTATTTTACCAGCTGCTAGCGCAAAGTTTCCCTTGCTTTCTGGTGCCCTCTGCTGCAGTGCACCTATGAATGAACAGCTCTCCAGAGCCGCTCTCCTCTCGGGCACACAGCTGAGTCACTAAAGCAAACCTACAGCCCACATCCATCCCCTGCCCAACAAATGCAAGTGCTTTGGTGGATCAGAGGTTAGGAAGAAGGTTGTATCCTCCCTTTAAGCAGTTCCAAGGCATTTTCTGAGGTGTTACCCAAGTGATGTGCTTCTTGCAGTGACAGATCCACGGCAGGTCACAAGAGGAGTTTTTCTGTCCTCATTGAGTGGACAGCCTGTAACCAGGTTAATTCTGCTAATGCATGCATTAGTTCTGCCCAGAGATAGGTTGCAAAAATACCGCATTTGTGTGAACAGGCCATTGCTGAACACCATCTCTTCATCTATTTCCTTAGGCCACCATAAATGACCAAATCCCCCCAGCCTTCTTCCTGTCACAGCCCCTGCTCTTCGTACTATTTTTTCCCTCCTTTCTTTACAGGCAAGCTTGGGAATCCTGATTGAAGACAATGTAAAAGTCTTGTTTAACACACGTTTAAATGCCATTACGGCAGGTGCTTTGGGAGAAGTGATTGACTTCTACTCATTAAAAGCTCTTTTCCTGCCAATGAAGTGCAGAATGTAACGACAGGAGGCTCACAGAGCTGATTCCCAGGCAGCTACTGGCTTCTGGGAGCAGATGCAAAGATCCATGGCATAACGGGAATTCTGAGCCATTGCAAAGGCTCAAAGGCCAGCATTGATGCCCCTGGCTGGGCTGAGCTGTGCAGCTGAGAGCTTCTCTTCCCTGTGTCCCCCAGCACGGGGCAGGACCTCAGTGTGTAGAAGCTCGCAGGTATCTTCAAACAGCTCCTTATTTCAGAAAGCACAATGCTAATGCAAATTCAAGAGGAACCTGCCACTTTCAAAAGCTTCACATGCATTGAAACAACTGCTTCCAGCCGAGGGAATTTGATTTGGTGGCTCCTTTAACTGCTAAGGCATCAGTTGTTATGTAAATTATTCCTAGTGGCTCAATGTAATAGACATGTATTACAGTGATGGATGCTCCTGCAAGGATTTTAACACTGTGGAATATTTTACCTGCTAAATGCACAGTGAATGTAGGATAAACTGTGAATTTTCTACAGGTAAAGTGCTGGGGCAGACAGTACAAAGGACTGGAGAGGCGCAAATGTGTCCCTGGAACCTCTTTGTCCTGAGGAGAAGAAGTAAAATGCCCCTCGCTGTGTAGCATTGCAGTAGTTGTGGTGATGGGGAGATCAGCTTTACCCCTTCATGTTGTGACCCCGGGTACAGGCAATGAAGGTAGAGAGAAATAAACGTTCTCACAGCCCCTCTTACTTCACACACAGCCACAGGGATTGAGTGATCATCATACCTGCCACATGAATGCAGCATCAAGCTCAGGGCCTTGTGAAGCCGCTGCATCCTTCAGGGCTGAGCAGAATCCTTGATCTTCAAACCAGGCAGTGCAGATCAACAGAGTCCTTCATGTTTTCAGTGCAGGCTGGAGGAAGCAGCTTGTTGGTAACTATTCATTTCTTGCAGTGTGTCCTCCTGGGGATTATCCACAATCAAATGGTGATCAGATGGTTTCATAGCTGCTCTTTCAGCAGCCCTCCCACCAAACACCTTATTAAACTTTCATCGGTTATACTGACAATATATGGCACTTAAAAGGTGTTTCTATGTAAGAGTTGGAAGTCAATAGGAGCTGTGGGTCCATTTTCCCTGTGCACACTGAACGTCCCAGTGAGCGTAAGTGGGATGGCTGGAAACAGGCTCTGAACTTCCCTGCTTCCTAATGCTAAGGGGCAGCATCACCGCACTGTACCTCATGACAGGTTTGCATTGTCCTGCTAGAACCCCATCAAGCTTGCAGGCACCACTGAAAACCGGGGGATGCTTGGGATGGGTCCTTGCCTCATCCGTGTGGAATGAGCAGGATTTAATAAATACAGAGCCTGAGACACGTGGAAAACTGCAGCTGAGTGGTTGCTGTTGAGGAACGTCATCTGAGCCACTTACTGAGGTCCTTGAGTCAGAGCTGAACCTTGCTCATGTATGAGAAATGCCTCTTATCTGCAAATAACCTCCCCCCTGCCCCTGCCCCTTCTCAGACTTGCTCGATTGTTTCTCTATGGAAGGTTACTGCATTCCTCCATGGAACAAAGGAAGAGCTATTTTCCTTCACAATGTGCGCCCTTTGTTTCACATGAAAATATCAACAAGGAAAGTGGAAAATCCTGGGCTTTGTCATCCTATTTATTCTGGGAACCCTGATTTCAGTTGGAAGGAAAATAAGTTTTCCTTGCGGAACAAATGCTCTGTAGTCAATAGCACCTCAGCTTCACCCTTCTGCAAAGCAGAGACACCCCGTCTGACCGAGACTATCCCCCAGATTCCCTTCTCTTCCTCTGTTGCTTCCATCCTGGCACCTCACCTTCCCCAGGGAATGTCACACGGGAAGGAGCAGGACCTCGGCTACCATCTCCTTCAGTCCTGAAGTGTCACTAGAAACTTCTTTGCTCTGACTGAATGCTTTCCTTGAGCTCCCACTTTATTTCCTGGTTGGGTGTGCTGTGCATAATTACTCAGTTAACCTTTACCTCCCTCCCTGAGGGGGTGGGAGAAGGCTGCAGGCTCCGCGCCACTTACTACACTGGGATGTTGATAGTCTGCAAGCTTGTGGAACTTCTTCACCACAAAAGCAACTCTCCCCAGTGCCACGGTTATAAATAGGGGCCCTGCAGCTCCCCGCAGCCTGTGACGCAGAGCCAGCACCCTGCCATATTTGTGTTCAAAACCGTAGTAGTAAATGAATTCAATCACGGGCTTCTGTGCATTGTTTGTGCCCCAGCCAGGAGCTTAAAAATACCGAGGCAGTTGGCTTGAAATCTCCCCCGAAGCAGCCCACAGTGTTCTGCAAATAGCCTGACAAGAAATACTTTGTAGGTTTTGGTGACACAGAAAAACTTCTGCTTTCTCAGGCTGGAAATCTCAGGGGACGGATGAGCACCGCACCCAGGATGCCCCAGGCTTTTGTTGTCTATGTTAGTAAAATTCATTCAAACAGCTTCATTTCTGCTGCACAATCTGATCAGAATGAGATTGATGTTCAGTAAACTGAAAGGAGCTCACTGGGGTCTGGTTCCTCGGTGCTTGGCACTTGGCTGAAAGGTAGGCAACCAAAAGGCACCGATTATACCATTCATTCATCGTCTAGTGTATGGTGTCCCTGCCCATGGCAGGGGGGTTGGAACTGGATGATCTTAAGGTCCTTTCCAACCCGAACCATTCTATGACCCTACGATTAACAAAGGCAAAGGCTGGCAAACAGGACATGCTGGAGGATTAGCCACAATGGTGCTTTCTAACTAATTACAGAAAGTACAGGCCTAACCTAGCACCCACTGACAGCAAGACTGCGCAGAGGAACGCAACCACATGGCACGGGCTGCACACAAAGGATGGAGTGAGTGCACGTGGGACGGGCGGGTGGGAAAAGAGCACCTTGGTCAGGCAGTAAAACGAGAGCAACCAGTTTGTGGTTGGCACAGCATGAGCAGCACGTGCAGACATCCTGTCTCCTCTCCTATGGCCTCCCAGGCCTGTCCTTCTGCTCTGGGGCCACGACGAACACCAGGACCTGCAGTGGGGAACAGTGTTGGTAACACCCCTCCTTTGGGTTCTTGACCCAGCACAAACCCTTGGAGGGGTGACGGGATGCCCGTGCAGGCAGGGAGGGAGCACAGCACCTCTCCACAAGCACCCACAGAAACACCCTCAGCGTAGGGGTGAGCCCAAGGACATACCCTGCTGTGCTTGAACCAACTCAAGCAATAGGAACAACTTGTCCCTTAATATTTGTAACATAAGAAACCATTTCCTATAAGAGCCTATTCTTCTGTTTCCCTCCTCCTCTCCCTCATTTGCAGACACAAACTATAATCCAAGGGTACACTCAAAAGTTTGCAGTGCAGCAATCACAGACTGCTGAGATTCTCTTACGCCTGCAACGGATTCCAGTAAGGAAAAGAAATCAACAGTGAAACCAAAGTATAGCAATTAATGTTTGCATGCTCTGCATTAGCTCTCTACAGCAGGCCAGGCAGAACCATGGTGATGCCACGAGCAAAGAAGGCGTTGCTAGCACAGAACACTCACCACCAGCCGGTGCCTGAGCAGAGGGTGAGGCTGCTGCATATGTGTGTCAAAAGGCAGTAATAAGAGGTGTAGAAATCCACAGAAATACTGAATTGCTACACGCAGCATGAAGATTACACACTATTATGCGACAGAATGTTACAGCAGCAAAGCGGTTTTGAGGAACTGGCTCAGCACCAGGTTGTTAGCAAGAGATAAAATGGCTTTTCAGAGCTTTGCACAAAGATGGAGAGAGAAGGGGAAGGGCCTCCAAAGGAATGCTCTGAGCAGTGTGTGGGAAGAGCCTCTTCCACCACCAGTATGAGGTGTGAGGAGGCAGAAGGGAGGTCAGCATCAGCGAGGAGGGAGATGCACTGCGCGGGGATCGACGTGCCTCCAATTGCCTTCAAAACAGAGACTGAGCACAGGCTGATAGTCCATTTTATTGAGTTCTAAGGCAGTGAAACTGAAAACGCATCTATTTTCTGGATTCTTACCCACCCTTGTACAGACAGCCACTTTTATCTGCCTTCATACCACGCTGATGCTCATTCGGCACTCGGTCTCTCTCGCTGTTTTCCTAGACAAGCTGTTCAGCCACTCAGGAATCAATGCAGTGATCTCAGCTGCAACACTCTGTGTAGGAGAGCACAAGTTTGCAGGCTGAACGTCATCCCTCGGAGAGGTCCTCAGCCCCACTCCTCCGCCTGGGGAAAGGCATTTGCCTGGGATTTCTTTTTATTCCCTGTAGAAGAGAGAACAATAATCATGTTGAGTGCTTAAGCAGAAGTAATTGATACGGCAGCAGACACAGCTTCTCTCTTTTTAACAGTGAAGCTCTCTTCTCCAGATGTACATGAATAGATGCGGGGATGTTGTTAATCATCTATGTAGATACACGTATGTACATTGTAGATAGAAAATAGGTAATAAATATGGAGGTAAATATAGGTAATAGAATCGCACCGCCTGCAGAACACAGTAATAAGGGACAGGACAAGAGGAAACGGCCTCAAGCTGCACCAGGGGAGGTTTAGATGGAGATGAGGAACAATTCCTTCCCCAAAGGGTGCTCAGGCACTGGAACAGGCTGCCCAGGGCAGGGCTGGAGTCACTGTCCATGGGGGTATTTAAACGATGTGTAGGCGAGGCACTCAGTGCCACGGGTTAGTGGTGGCCTCGGCAGTGCTGGACTGGATGAGCTTAAAGGTCTTGCCCAACCAGGCTGATTCTGTGATTGTGAAGAGGCTTCTCAGGGAACGGACACCTGCCTTTGCAGAATGATTTCTACCCAAACCTCATTCGCTACCACTTACTCGCTGTGGAAACGAACACACAATCGCTTCAGGAAGCCGCCAGAGGAGTGAATCAATGCAGCGTCTGCCGCTGCCTGCGGAGGCTCCGAGCGCGGACTTACGGGTGCCCTGACCGACGCTCGGCTCCCTGAGGGAGGAGGCATCAGCGCGGCGGGGCCGGGTCAGGCGGGTGCGCTCCCCGCTCCCCGGAGCCGCGGGGCAGGTGCCTGCTCCGGGCGCGTCCCTCCCCGCAGCACCGCCCCGCGGGTGGAGACCGGCGCCGGTGCCGCTCCGCTCCCTCGGGGAGGCGGCGGCGCGGGGCGGAGCGGTCCGATCCCATCCCATCCCATCCCATCATCACCTCACCTCCGCGGGGGACGCGCTCGCTGCCGCCGCAGGTGCCTCCTGCTGTGGATCGCGGCCAGCCCCGAGGCCTCAGGGCTCAGCTCCGGGGCTGGACGGCGGCGACTCCATCACCACCACCTGTAGCGGCGGGATGGAGGAGTCGGACCTCAGCGCCGCGGCCGTGCTGGGCTTCCTGCGGGAGCGCGGCGGGCGGGTGCGCAACACCGAGCTGGTGAGCGCCTTCCGGCCGCTGCTGGAGGCCGGCGGGGACGCGGCGGCGCGGCGGGAGCGGTTCAAGGCGGCGGTGAACGCCGTGGCCGTGGTGAAGGAGCGCGACGGCGCCAAGTTCGTGGTCCTGCGGCGGGAGCTGCGCCGGGACCCTCCAGCGGGGGCCGCGCTGGCGCCGGGGGGCGATGGCGGCGGCCCCGACCCCAGCCCCGAGCCCGTCCCCGGGGGGCGGCTGTCGCCGGCGCCCCCCGAGGAGCTGCCGGGGCCGCGGGCAGTGTCCGAGCTGCGGGGTCTGTTCCAGGGCGGCGGGGGAGCGGTGCCGCTGCCCGGCGGCGCGGCGGGGGCCCGGCGGGAGCCGCTGCCCAAGCCCTGCATGCTGCCGGTGCGCTGCGTGCCGGCCCCCGCCGCCGCGCCGGGGCTGCCGGAGGCGCTGGGGTCCCCTCTGTCACCCCCGGAGGTGGAGACCGGGTCCCGCTCGCCCTACCTGCGGCGGGCGCCCAAGAGCCACCGGGCCAGCGAGGAGACGTCGGCGGTGCCCCTGGAGCAGGCCGAGCACCAGTGGCTGGTGATGGCTGCGGACGGGCAGTGGACGCAGCAGCTCCACGGGCTGCTGCTGGGCGACGCCAGCTTGGCGGACAGGAGGGACTTCATCTCGGGCTTCACCGCCCTGCACTGGGCCGCCAAGAGCGGCAACTGCGACATGGTGACAAACATCATCAGAGCGGCCGAGAAGGGGGGGACCCGCGTCAACGTGGATGCGAGGTCGCACGGAGGCTACACAGCCCTTCACCTGGCTGCCATCCACGGCCAGGAGAAGATCATCACCATGCTGGTGTACAGCTACCACGCCAAGACCGACCTGCGGGACTACAGCGGGAAGAAGCCGCATCAGTACTTAAAGGAAGGGGCGTCCTCTGTGGTCAGGCGCTTGCTGGGGGATCCCAGCCTTCCCCACAGCACGGAGCCCTCCGCGCCCATCAAGAAGAGCACAAAGCTTGCAGCTTCCATCTTGAGCTCCACGAGCACTTTCCTGGGGGTGATATCCGATGACATGGCTTTCTACGATCTCACCAAAGGTTTAAGGAAGCCTTCGTCTTTAAACAAGCTCCTGGCTGCCACTACGGGCCCAAGGAGGAAGCCAAAGACCAGAGGGGGCTTCCCTTCATATTCCTCCCTCTCCGAGGTAATGGAGGAGGAGGAAGAGGAGGTCGTTGTGAAGCGCAGACCTGTTTCTGAGCTGTTCTTTGGCCACTAGCCGCTGCCTTCTTGGGATCCAAATTGTTTAATAATGCGACCGGGGCCTCAATTTCTTCTCTCCTGTCTGTCTTTTTGGATGTTGGACTAAGCCAGTGATAGGGGCCCCAGAGGCCACTGGCTGAAACCTAACTCACAGCCACCCATGGAGAGGGAGCTACCCCGGGAGCACTGCAGATGCTGTGTGTGCCGTCCTGCTGATGCGTTGGTGGAGACTGCCAACTTTATACTTAATGGTTGAAAACCTAAACCTCTGTGTGTGTAGACAGGTTAAAATGCTTAAGGTACAGCCTTCCTGATCTGTGCTCCTTGGCTGGAGAGCAAAAGTAAGGTAAAGGATTGCTTATTTTACACTGTGAACAGCAAGCTGGTAGCTGGCTACTTGAATGTGGCTTGTTACACAGGCTTCAATTCTTAGAGGAAAGATGCATAGTTTTCTATGATGTTTCTGACTATTTTGGTAACAGAAGAGGAATATTTCTATTTAGAAACAAATTGTGTACTTTTTCAAAGCAAAGTTTCTCACTATCACAAATGCTAACATAACAATCGCAGTTTTTGCCTAAGGTGGTTTAGTAGGTGAACTACTTTACAAAACTTAAAACCCCACCATCAGCACCATGACCCGTCTACCTCAGCCTGGAAGCAAGGTTAGCATTGTAATTGTGGCTTTTCCTCTTCCTGAAAGCCCTTCTGACCCGGTGGTACCAGCCACATGTCTTTGATGATACTGTGAATGCTTAAACTTGACTGGAATTCAGTCACTTACTCTGAATAAAACCCTTGTTGATACTTGATAGTGAAAAACTGAACTGAAAAACTGGGAATTGGATCCTGCAGTTTCCGAGTAGCCAAGTGGAAACAAAGGCTCCTATGTCTGATTCTTCTTATTTAAAGCTTGGCCTTTGATTTTGACCTACTTACAATAAATGTTTATAAAGTTTGGGCTTTATGTTACATTAGGTGTTTCATGATGCAATGTCTGCATGACCTCTTAAAGCAGAATTTGGCTCAGCAGCATGAATCATGGACCTAAAACTAACTCTTATATTAGAAACAGAATTGTTCTATCTATAGAGTTCCATGTAGGTCCCCAAAGCATGCTAACTGCAGGTTAATGCACTGCAGTGAGATGGTTATTCTTTTAATTGCTGTTTGCTTAAAGGTAATGCAAAGGGGCAGAGCTAAGAACAGAATCTGCCCAGCTCCTGGGGCCAGCCTAACCATGTAACCGAAACCCCTGTGTGTTTCAGAGGTGATGAAGGGGATGGTGGTACTGCGCTTGCTTTGCTTTTCAGCCCCATCAGGTGCTCCTGTCCCCACACTGAAACACTTGGTTGCATGCTTTGCCTTTCTTTCCAAGCCAGTGACTTCAGGAATGTTTGTTTTTTCAGCCTTGAATTAAGCCTCCTACTTCTAATTGGCTGTAATTGGCTTCTCCTGAATGCTCCTACAGCAGGGAATGCTGTAGGACAGTGCTGAGGGGAGCACTGCCCTCTTTTACTTTACTGTGTTCTCCCTGAAGTTGGTGACATTGGAGTGGTTGGGAGCCTACCTGTGACTGCAGAGGGGCTGCTCCACCTGCTCCCGTAGGAGCCGGGGTTCCACTGCACTGCTCTGCTTCCGTGGTGAACTGCTTAAGCTGCCAAGGGAACGCCGGTGCTCCGGCCCCTCCTGACTTCTATATCTGGAGTAGGGTTTAAAGAGAAATAAAATCCTATTTGCTGCATAGCTGTCGCTGTGACCAGTGCCCAGCGTGCTCATTTGGAACCTGGATTTGTGCTGCACGGGGTCAGCTCACAGGCTTCCAGGGGAAATAAAGGCTGGCATTAAACCCCTTTTCCCCCTGTGTTTTCTGGAACCACAGCAGTGTGTGTGTGTGTGTGTTCACATTGTGTTTCTGCATGAACTGAAAACACTCCCCACTTTGACTCAGCCTCATGGGGAAGTCTGCCCATTGGTTGTGGCTCTGAGCTTGGTACCTCTTCAAATAGCTGAGATTTCAGTGCTAATTCAGAGCGAAGCCTACTTGCGTCAGAGGTGAGGTTCAAGGATGGAGGCTTTCCTGGTTAAAAAGCAACCAACCAACCCGTAAAGCGTGGCTGTGACTTCACCATAAGGAAATGAGGAGGAAGGCTGTGGTGCTCCTGTATTGTTCTGTCAAAGGAAAAGCAAGAAATCACAGCCAAGATAATACTTCATTGCAACAGGTAGCATCAGGGAAAACTGCTACTCCTTCCTGGGAGGCACGGAAGAGATAAGGTGCTGTGATAGAGAGATCCAGCAACACCAGCCCTGTCCTGCAGCATTCCCAGGCAGTGCTCAGGGGCCTGGCAGGAAGGTTGCAACACCGAGGTGTGGAGCTGGCAAGGTCGGTGCTGCAATGGGGTGCACCCAGCTCTGCCAACACGCTTGTGCGGTGACTCAGCTCCTGCCTCCTCCTTGTTGAGCAGACCGAGGATAAGGGAGTGCTTAGGCAGGCGGTGATGAGTGTACCCCGTGCTGTACAACCTCAGGGGCAAACACGTACTGAGAGGTACAGAGAACAGGGCTGCAGTGTCAGGAAGTACACATTACCTTTGGTTAGAGGTTGAACCGGTCCCTCAGCTTGCGGGGTTTGTGTTCCTTTGTTGCATTTGGGCTCCAGAGGGGCACCAAAGGATGATCGTGGGAGCCTTTTGCTGGCAGAGACCAAGGCTGTCACTGGTTTAATGGTGGGTCCTCATTAAGTTCACTGCTTCAAGCCCAGATCTGGCTGGACACGGGATGATTTTCATGTACAGAATGAGCTGTGCTTTCAACAGCACCAGAGCTGACAACCGCAGCTCCCAGCCACGCTGGCCCGGGGCAGGGGCTGTGCCACAGCGAGTGCCATGGCTGGGCAAGCAGCCTTCTGAACCTCTGGCACAGGCCAGAGCTGGAACCTGCCTCCTGTGTCATCACAGCTGCTTGCAGGAAAGGGAAAAGCCCAAATCCTCCATGCCTGCCCTGTGGGCATGGCTTGTGTAGTGGGGGAAGGCTGGGAGCTGCAGATGGAAGCTACAGATAAGGCACAGACCAGGACTCAGGAGTTTGGAGTTGTATTTTCAGGCCAAAGGAGAATGGCTTTAACCTGCCAGAGGGGAGACTGAGCTGAGCTCTTAGGCAGAAGCTCTTCCCTGTGAGGGTGCTGAGGTGCTGGCACAGGGTGCCCACAGAAGCTGTGGCTGCCCCATCCCTGGCAGTGCTCAAGGCCAGGTTGGACACAGGGGCTTGGAGCAAGCTGCTCTAGTGGAAGGGGTCCCTGCTCGTTGCAGGGGTTGGAGCTGGAGGAGCTTTAAGATCCCTTCCAACCCAAACCATTCCATGATCCTACGGTATTACTTGGTTACTGCCTGCCTGCTTGCCACATCTCGGTTTTCCTGCTATAAAATACAATCACTTTGGTCACTTCTTTAAAGCACACAGTACGGATAATCCACATCAAAATCAAGATAGTGTTTTCAGACCTGGAGGCAGCACCAGCAGCACCTGCAAGCTGTGAATGCTGCACACTCAGGGGAGCGCCTACACAAACAAAACTGGCTGGGGCTGTAGCTCAGCAGCATCGGAGATGAGCAAAGCTGATGTTTGTCTGACCTTGGCTCAGGCCTTCCTAATGATAACTCAGCTCATCCATTCTTCGGCACCCTTTGTTCTGAGGGATATCAGCTCGTAAACCTGCACTGAGGAGGGCTGCAAACAAGCTTCAAGCCATGGTTCTACACAAAGGGATGGACTTTGTCCTGTCTGCTGTGCCTGCTGGAGCAGCACGAGGTCATGCAGTGATGGACAGGCTCAAACAGATGTCTTGGGTACCTCCATTCCCTTGTGAGTGCCACACAGAAACCCCTGGTCTGTGAAAGCCCCACTCCTGCCCTGCCATGGAGCCCTTTACAAGGTTCTGGCTTCATCACAAAACCAAGGTACAGCAGAAGAGTCACTGAACGACTCCAGCAGAGCCATGGGAGTTCCAGCCACCAGCTGAAGGTAGAGGAGGCGTTTCGAGAGTCTCCTAACTCCCCATTGCTTGTCCCTTCTGTTCCACACATTTCCACTGTGACCTACATTCCTTGGATGCATTTGCCTCCTGATTTGCATATTAATCTGAATAAAATGGCAACGTGGCAGCTTTTGAGTCATTTGGACTAATGTGGGACCCCCCAGATTCAGAGGTTGTTAACAGGGACTTGGCCGGCACACAGCACAGGCATCAACAGCGCGGTGGGTGGTGGTTGGAGGGGGAGAACAGGGGCACAGCAGGTCAACGCAGATCGAAAGCTCTGCACTGTAATGAGGAACATTCATTTCCTAACCCAGTTCCAAGGTTTAGTTCACTGATTTCTAACAGAAAGCAAATAACTGCTCCCATCTCACCCCTACACCGTGTGTGCAACCCTGAACGAAGCATCGCCAGTGGCTGGGTACCTACCGGTCCTTTGGTGTGCATTGCCAGGGAAGTCCCATCAGGAGACACTTCCTCACGGTGATGCGGCTGCCTGCAGCAAGAGTGTCTGTGCCAGATAACCTAGAGCAGGTCAAAAAAGGCATTTAGAGAGAGATAGTGTTCTGCCCCGCTCATTCCACTGATCAACACCATTAGACCTGCAGGGATTTCTAGAACAGAGCTGCTGCACAAGCACACGGTGCAGCCCCATCGGAAGCAGCCAGGTCCTACTGGCTGCCCTGAAAAAGTGATAGATCCAAATGCATCACGAAGCATTTTGGGGTAAATCTGTCTCAACAAACCCTTCTGGTAGCAATGCAGGTCATACAGATGAGGGGAGAACTGTTTGTGCAGAACTCGCACTGTTCCTCAAGGGTCATGAAGTATAGCAGCAAAACAGATCCAGCCAATCCATCTACCCAGGCCAGGATGCACTGCGGCAGCTCTGCCACTTAACAGCCCCTGAGCCAGCCCCAGCCTTGGTGACTGCTCTGAAACCACACAGGACACACGGAGCTGTACCCAACCAACCACTGCTCTTCAGCTCAATGATGAAAAAAAGCTCTGATCTTACATTGCAACAATGATGTAG